TTCCTAAGTTATTTTGTAATCTTCTAAAGCTGAGATTGGTCGCATACATCCGGTATTTTTACATAGCAATTAAACAAGAAAAATTAAACATAATATGACGTGTATGGGCTAATTAAGAGTAAAGCAAGAAAAGTCCAAGTAATGTTATGGAAAAAAAAAAGGGAAAAAGGTTAATGGGCCAAAAGTTATAATTATGAAAAGATTAGGCCCAAAAGTGTAAATAAAAGAAAATATTAGGTAAAAATAAATGTGTAGTCACGGAGAAATGCCTAGAAATTTGGGGGGGGGGGTGTCTTGAATGGCAGAAGAAGATTCCTAAAACAAATTTGAGCCCCATATAGCTAGTGCCTCAAAAATGAAATTGTTAGCTTAGAAAGTACATTCATGTGAAATTTAAAGAAATAAACAGAAAAATAATTATTAGAATGATTTAAGGGCTCATAAAATTAAGGAAATATTATGAAATATTATTTTGAGGATCTAAAAAATTTATGAAGAGGTTTAATTCTAAAAAAGTGGCCTAAATTAAATAACCTTAAAGCTTAGTTAATTTTTGGGAATTACGGGCTTATCTCCAAAAAAATTCAATAATAAAATAGTTAGAGGTTGTAGTTTGATCTAAAAGTTTTAGAAAATTTATTTTATAAAATAAAAAAGACAATTAAAGCAGAAAATCCTTATAAACTATTAAGGATTAAAAAAATTTACCTGGCAATTTCAGTATCTACAACAGGGGCAAAATTGTAAGTTAGCCCAAGCCCAAAAATGGACTCCGGCCTCAACTTAGCCCAAAATTAGAAGCCCAAAACGTGTGACCCATGATCACAAGAATGAGGATCAGATATCTAAGTTAGGGACCCAGTAAGTAAATGGGAAAAATTAGGCTCAATTACATGCGTGCGTGTGTGTGTGTTTGGGTATGTGTGTATGATAAGCTTTATTAGAGTGCCTGTGACTAAGGAAAAAATGAAGTAATTTCACTCTTCGCTTAATCTTCAGCGGCCGCGCCTCCCACAGTCCTCATCCACACCTTGAAAACACAGAGGGCGAGAAACCGAAGAGGAAATGAGGAAAGCGGAGAAGAGAGAGGAAGCGAGTGTGGAAGCTCACAAGCAACCAGATAGCTAAGCCAATAAGTAGTATCTTTTCATTTAGTAGGAATTGCAATCAGGTCCAAGAAAATGATTTAATTACTTTAAAATCCATTCACAATTTAGAAACATACAATGACAAGTTCCAGACAATGCAAATGGTTTATGATCCTCACCAAGGTTAAAAAACTAGACCGGTAATTAAACCTGTTGAGGAAATAGTTTAAAGGTCAGTGATTCAACTTGGAGTTAACCTGGCATCAGACCAGTCATAATTAAAATAATATATTTTAAATAAACATTGATTATTTTTTTGCCAACAAATATACATTGATTATTTTAGATTGTAATAATAAATATATAAAGATAAATATAATAAATAATAAATTTAAATGATGGATAGAGTTTGAAAAATATTTCAAGAAATAATATATGAGAAAGGATACTTATTTATTTATATTGATTGTTTTTTGATAAAAATTAGTAAAGTTTGCGTTTTACAATTCCTTTTCAATCTTATTAGTTATCGCATCCCACTAATAATTTTCTTTCACAAAAAGTAGTATAAAATCTCTAGGTATTCAACGCCCTTTCAGACTTTCTACAAGAGGTGTGGTTATCGAAAAAAGACTAGCTTGAATAACTATTCTAGCACTTTCTTTCAAGTTTGGGCATCGGTTACCATAAGAGTTGACGAGAGATTGAAATTGAACAGTGATGATAAGAGAAGTAAATACTGCAGCCATTTTGAATCAAACTAGTTGATAGTTGATGAGCATCTTTCCTTTCACTTGTCCCTTGTTTTCACTCGTCCCTAGTTCTTCCCCTTTATACCATTCACTCTTTTCTCTGCATCATTTCGATCATTCCCTCTCATCCCTGTATCTCACTGCAGCATGCAACATATGATGCTTCAAGACAAGTTTTTGTAGCTTTTATTTGATGCTTCTATGTTCATGTCTATTGCTTATCTCAACTTCTGATGCATATTTTTCCAAAAAAGAATAAACCGAGCAATCCACCTGACTTAGCAATTCGTTCGATTTCATCGGTTTCTTACCAATTTGTACCTATTTTTTCTGGGTTGATTGTGCGCTGGTTTATGTACTAAACCGGATAGGACAAATAAACTGATTTTTGGTTTGAACCGGCTGGTCCGATCTGATTTTTGGTGTCATGATCTTTACTTGTAATTAAGATTTTTGGTAATTAAATTCTTTTTATGAGACCTCATAGTAATTGTCTCTATCGTTTATTGATTCACTTGCCCTCTCTTTTTATTATTTATTTTACCAAGTGCACAAGAGTTTTTTATTGCATTTAGTTGATCATCCAATTTACCCCTTCCCCTGTTTGGTACCGACGAATAGGAAGCATTGAAAATAAGGATAGAGATTGAGATTGCAATTGAAAAAGATCATTAAAATAATATTTAGCATGAGTAATTACTTGCTATGTGGATTAGCCAAACCCATAGAAGTGGGATATTGGGGAATACCACTTCCCCCATGATATTTCCCAATCCCACATACATGAATTTGGCTAATCCTATATAATAAGCAATCTTTTATGCTAAAAACTTTTTAATAGATTTTTTTAATTTCAATCCCAATCCTTATCCTTAATTTTCAATGCTTCCTGCCAAACATAACCTAAGAGTCATCCAATTTAATAGTAACCGAAAATATATTAAGATACAATATTAGAGTTTATATTTCATGAGAGTAACTTAGGACATGAAAAAATTGACTTCCCTGGAACATTAACACTTTAGAAATTTTGAAGCATGTCAAGTTTTTCCTCATGCAGTGAATAGTTAATATTCTAACAAAAAGAATATATTACACAGTTAAAAAATATATTAATATCAATTAAAAGTAATAAATATGTAAGAAATCATTTTTTTAAAGAATGCCTTTATTTATAAGATGGCAAGTGAGAGGAGAAATAATGAGAAAAATGTGAAAAATGTATTGAAAAAAAAAGATGACACAATTGATTAAGAATAAAATTGATAAAAATATATTTGATTTCAAGACAAACGAAAAAGCAATCTTATAAAAAGGATATGATAAATTCAAATTTTGGAATTTTATATGAACAAACCAGCTATAGTAATTCTCTTGATATTTAACTATCCACCATGAGGGATGCCACAAAAAATTGAGTCACACATTAAGTTTATACTTTTTATACTAGTTTGTAAAATGGAGGAGTTGTATTGCTGAATCGCAATCTACAATTCACTGATTTGCCCAAAAATAGGTCAACATCTTGACCGGGAACATCTGGCAATGTCAGAATCTACCTCATATTCACGTTCTCTGACCTTACGAAATTGCGATATAATAATTAGGGAAAATCACTAACAGATCCCACAGAAGGCAATTTATTACTATGAGGTCCCATGAAATGTCAAAATCACTGACAGGTCCTAAGGGACCTCAGAGTAATATTTTCGTTTTGTAAAATGACATTACTGCCCCTCATATTCTAGATTCACATTTGCTCTGTCATTACGATTTACAACCTCAGCAGCGACTATTAACAACCTAATGAGAGGGCGTTAACAACCCTAGCAGTATCCGTTAACAACTTACTTTATAGAATTATATAACCTCTACATAGAGTAAATTATAACCAAATAATATAATACAACAACTTTAACACTAAAATGGAAAGCTTTTGATATCATTAAGAATTTTAACTAGATCCAATAGGATTATAGTAATATTTTAATGCGAATATCCATTTACAATCTCAACAGCGATTGTTAACAACTGAATGAGAGGGCATTAACAAACCTAAGCAGTAGTCGTTAACAACTTACTTTATAGAATTATATAACCTCTGCATAAGAGTAAATTATAACCAAATAGTATAATACAACAACTTTAACATTAAAATGGGAAGCTTTTTGATATCATTAAGAATTTTAACTAAATCCAATAGGATTATAGTAATATTTTAATGCGAAGATCCATTTACAACCTCAATAGCGACTATTAACAACCGAATGAGAAGGCATTAACAACCTAAGCAGTATCGGTTAACAACTTACTTTATAGAATTATATAACCTCCGCGTAAGAGTAAATTATAACCAAATAGTATAATACAACAACTTTAACACTAAAATGGGAAGCTTTTGATATCATTAAGAATTTTAACCAAACCCAATAGGATTATAGCAACATTTTAATGCGAAAATCCATTTACAACCTCAACAGTAAGTATTAATAACATAAGGAGAATTGTTAACAACCTTAGCAGTGTCTGTTAACAACTAACTTTATCGGATAATATAACTTCTAGCTATAACTAACTAAACTATAAATAAATAGTCTTAAAGTTAATCTTATATAGTTGTTAGAGGTTATATTATCCTATAAAGTCAATTGTTAATAGATACTGCCTAGATTGTCAACAGCTCTCTTTGGGTTATTAATACTCACCATTGAGGTTGTAAATGGATCTTCGCATTAAAATGTTACTATAATCCTACTGGGTTTGGTTAAAATTCTTAATGATATAAAAAAGCTTCCCATTTTAGTATTAAAGTTGTTGTATTATACTATTTGGTTATAATTTACTCTTATGCGGAGGTTATATATTCTATAAAGTAAGTTGTTAACGGATACTGCTAGGGTTGTTAACGCCCTCTCATTAGGTTGTTAATAGTCGCTGCTGAGGTTGTAAATCGTAATGATAGAGTAAATGTGAATCTGAAATATGAGGGGCAGTAATGTCATTTTACAAAACGAAAATATTACTATGAGGTCCCTTGGGACTTGTCAGTGATTTTGACATTTCATGAGACCTCAAAGTAATAAATTGCCTTTTGTGGGACCTGTTAGTGATTTTCCCTAATAATTATAATAACAACATTTATAGTACACCGCTCGTTTCTGCTCTCCAAGAACCATCCCAAGTTTCAGGGTCGGTGATGTCTCGTATCATCATCTTCTTCAATTCCAGGGGCTTAATTAATGAGGTAGACCACGCGACCACACATGTATTCTTTCCCCATTCACTCATTTGCATTTCATAATTACCCATTTCGTTTACGTTTGAATTTGTAGACATGTACTTTTCTTCTTCCCACTGTGCTTCGCCGTGAAATTCGTCAATTCTCAATCTATTTATTGCTTGAATTAATCCCAGATTTTTAGCAGTATAATTGGATGATTGCATGTCTGATTTTATTTCATTATGTTGATCTGAATTAATTTGGGAGGAGTATTTGAGGGAATTGGTTTTTGTTATGGATTTGGAGAGTGAAGGTTCAGCCCTAGAATCTGTGGAAGAAAATGAGGTGAACCTAGAAAAATCACCCCACGATGATGAGAATGGGACTAAGAATAACGGCTCTTTTGCTAATGAGATTGATTATGAATTCGGTGGCCATGGACATTCTGATGCTAACACATCAACATCAGATCAACTCGGAAGTACTGTTGAAGCAGTTGGTGAAGAGGTTACGCATCGAAGAGGCAAAGTTCATGCTGAGGATTCATCTCCTGCGTCAAAGGGTTCTGGGTTGAAGAAATGGAGGAGAATTAGGAGGGAGATTGTGAAGGATCCAAATGTAAGTGTAGAGAGTAAAACATTGAAGCGAGGTTTACCTGACCCTGCCAATTTAAGTAACAGCCAACCTCTTGCGCATGATATTAAGCAAAGTAGTGAGGACTCTGTTATATCCTCAAACATAGATAATAATGTTGGGTTGATTGATGCCTCTACTATCCTCGGATCTGGCTCTGATTCTGATTTTAGATATGTTCTTGGGGCTGCCTTCGCTATTGGCACAGATTCTGAGAATAGTGAAGATAGGAGTAACAAGTGTTCCTCAGCAACTAGTACACCAAAGTTTAGACATGACATGTCTCCTGTATCAGGGCTTGCTCAGGAGAAAAGACGGGTTAAGAATATGAGTTCAAAAAATTTAGCCAGCTCAACCCAGCGGGTTCAACTGGGGAGGGAACGCACAGAAATCAGCAAGAAACCTAAAGGCGAAAAAATCAAGATGGAGAAGGAAAATTCTCATTCCAGCCCTTCTTTAAGAAGTTCCAACTTTAACCAAGGTGTCTTTGAAGCAAATGAGAACGGAAAGCATGACAGAAGGTCAATTATTTATGACAAAATTGACAGCGGTGAGGTTCAAACTGATGAAAAGTCCCATGGGGAAGTTCAAGCTGGTTATTGCAATGAAACTGAGGATCATCTACAGGGGAATTTGCCTGCAAATTTGTCTTCAGATGTTATAGAAGAAAAAGGTGTGAACAATCACTATTCAGAAGTAGGGGATCCACTTATGGAGTGCATGCGTAACCTTCAATCTGTGCAGGAGGCACTTGAAGAAGGTATGTACATGTATTTTTTATTTTCTTCTTTTTCTTTCTGGTAATACTTGATTTTCTGACATGCGTTGACGTATTTTGCCAATCCATGACTAGGATTTGTGGATCTAGTGTAAAAATTTCTTATATGTTAATACTTGTTTTACTTTACTATTCCCTAATCATTCGAAGTTGTCAAACAATTTCTTGTCAAGTATATTCTATTGACAAAATTCTTCATGAGCAAATTTTACAAAGGAATATGTAAATTCAGAGTCATCTATTGGTTGTCTAGAGTCTAAACTCACTATGACTGTGAAAATAAGTTGGAGGAATTTATCGGAAAATAATTTGGTATGTGAAATGGTTCTCTTTATTGTGTTATGTGAGGTGGTGGGAAGTTTCTTATCTTTTGCTAGATGTCTGTTCATGTTCCATCAATCCTTTTCCCACTTTAATTTTCCCCTCTTTGCTTCATCTTCTTCTTGTTTATTCAAACTTCGAAAGGTAGTAAAATATCAATGTTGTCCGTAAATTGGATATTATCATTAATCGGTATTTTCTTTGATTACTTATTTTCAGTCCTTCATAGGAGATGTAGTGCTGTTGTTCCAGATATGTAATAGCTTGCTTTAGGGTTTTCCATCTAATTTAAGTTGTGAAGATTGTACTTTTCATACAAGGTCCACAGCCTACTAGACAAAGATTTTGTTTATGCTTAGTATTGAAGAATGACAAGTGTAAGCTGATTTGATTTTTTTCTGGGTCTTTAGTAAGGTACCCGTTGAAATCTTAATAACTCATGGGATGACCTAGCTTTAACTGCAATTCTAACGCGTATAACATTATGCTTTGGCAGCGACTCTTTCTTTTGTAATCATGCATGTTGTACCCTTTTGAGAAGACTACTGAAAAACATGACTTAAAGTTGGTTTGGCTGGTTTCTTATTGCTATTGTATCATACGCGAGAAGAAATCCAATTTTCTATATGACGTTCCTTGTTTGGAGTGCATGATTAGTCTTTAATGAAAGTATTAAGTATTGCATGTGTCTCTTCATACTGTAAAATCTAAAATCTGATTCATATGTACTATTGCAGAAATCAAGAAATTTGGGGAGATTAGGAATGAACCCCTCTCATCAGATTATGACTCGATCAAGTCAAGCAATGTAATGGCTGATATTACTGCTCTAGATCCTGGACTCCGTGAATCATGCTTATCTGGTCAATCTGATGCAGAAGGAACCAAACCAACATATTCAAGTTCCTTAGAACTTCAGATTCTGATCCTGACACAGAAAGCGAATGTGCTGGAAAGCAAGTTAAATGAATTACAGGGTATGCTTGCTTTGAGGGATTCCAGGATTCATGAACTTGCAACAGTCCTGGGAAGTCATGAACTTCCTACCGAAGAATCAGGTAGCACCGTTAACTTATTGGCAGAGAAATTTAAACTGGAATCTGAACTTGAGGGCTTCTTCAGGCAAAAGATAGAAGCAGAGATTGAATACCTGATAATCACAAAAATGATGCAGAATTTTAAGGTTGCAGAAGCTTATCAACACAGAGTCTTGGAAGAACTGGAAACATCATCCAAAAGGCAAGCACAGGTTCTGAACAAGCTTGGAATAGCAGAAAGCAAGGCAGCAATGCTCAAGAACAAAGCAGATGAGCTGGGAAACTACTGTAGTGATATTTTAGGAGTTGAGGAGACAATTACGGTGCAGAAAAGACTATATAAGGTGACACTATGCTTTTTAGTACAGTTCATGTTGTTAGTTATGGTCTTCAGGTTTTTTGTTTCACAGTTGTTACCCACTTCTGGGGTGGTTGTTATCCCCACATAAGCCTGCAAAGTTTAGTTTCTTTAGTTGTTTTATGAAATGATCCTTTACTGTTAAGGTCTCTCGATTTTCTTACCATTTTGTGCACAATTGTAAATTTATCTGACTTTTGGCTTAAAGAGATTAATGATATCAATGTCGGAGCATTTCAAGTAAGCATTATGTCGTAGAATCGCTAGTAGTATTGTAAAAGTATGATGTCAATCTAGGGCACAAATTCCTTCATACTCCTGTTCATATTATAAGGCTGTTTTCTACAAGTTTTTTAAAAATTCAGTCCATATTTTTTTTATTTAATATTTCCTAACTAGTAAATAAATGTTCTCACTACCTAATTATTCTCTATTTGAAGAACTTTATTGAGCGTTATCAAAAAATTTTAAAAGCATTAATAAATTTAATCGAGAGTTTTTCTTATTTAGGTAAAGTTGTTGTCATTTTTTCTGGTGAACGCATTTTTATTATCGTTCTTTTTTAATTATAAAAAGCATTAGTATGGTGTATCTTTCTTGTCTCTTAAATTATAATAATCCTCTTTTTTTATCCTTTAGCTCCTTAATATTTTCTTCAAAGTTTAGGTTGCTCATCAATTTAAAATTTATACTTTATAGTTTTATTCCTATTCCTTTTTAATCTAAAATAATTGTTACACATAACAAATATATTAATGAAATTACAACAAGGTTAAATCACAATCCAGGTAATGAACATTGAACCTATACCGCTCTGTGACGTATTTACTACTTACTATTTTGACGATTTAATTGAAAAATTATTAAATGAAAAAAAAAAAGAATTTCGTGCACACTATTTCGGCTACACTGATTTCATGCAGTTATCTAGCATGTTGAATAAGGATATAATTATCCTACGAATCGCAGTACATCTCTGATCTGAATTTTCTTCTACTTTGGGTTATGGAAATAAATAAATAACTAAATCGATAAGTAAATAAATTCCCATAAAATAACCGCAGTAGAACTTTTCCACACCACAGCCTTTAGAATGATTTTATTCTAGTTTAAAACTGTAAAATATCTTTAATTTATTGTCATTACGTGTAGTTTTATTGAAAATATTTAAATCATAGAATTTTTTGACCCGGTAATTCCTAGAATGAATGAAGACACGCGTTAAGAGATTATGGATCCTAACAGAAGTGAGTCATAATGGAATAAGCCTGAAATAAATATTAGTGAGTCATAATGGAATAAGCCTGAAATAAATATTTTCCAAATTTTTGGGAAAATTAATTTGATGGTCCTCATAGTTTCACTAAATTAAGTCTCTTTTTTTATCCCATGCTTATTGTTCCTCTATTATCAGTCCTGGTCATTTTGTTATAAATATCATTAGTTTAGGTTGATCAGGGCTGACATGGCGCTGAAAAATACCCGAGTAAGCACATCATCTCGTCAAAGTTACCTCCTACTCCCTCAGATTCTCTCTCTCTCTCTCCCTACTCCACATAGTTCCCTTCAAAACAACACCATTATCTCTCTCTTTCTCCACCACCATCATCATCATCTTTATCTCCTCTTGCAGAAGCCTCACTCTGTTTCAGATTCATCACTTCCTTCTCGCAACTGTAATTGTACCCTCCTTGTTGCCACCTCCCATGGCAATCGATCTCTCTGCAGTAACAGAGCTCGAGTCGACTGAGAGTAAGTAGCAAGGTTCGATGAGATCGTGGTGCTCCGCTAGCTGTCGCGACTCAGCTTTGGCTCTTGCGGCAACATGGAGATTCCACAAACATTCCATCTTCGGATCCAATGACCAGACGGCATGGGGTCGAGGGAATGAGAGGTGCCTGCTCTTTGGGATATATTAACACTAGAGTAGATTGGTCCTGGTACAACAGATAGAACATGGTGGCACCTAGTGGAAGCAGCAAGCACTTTCACCTCCACCAACACTTCTTTCTCTTCAACACAAATGAAGATGTTGATGAATACTTAGAAGAAGAATCTGAAACATGGAAGAGGAGAACGAGGAGGAGAAGAAAAGAAAAGGCCATAGAAATTCTTTCCAACTTTGCGTTCTTCTCTAATCCAAGAAATGTCATCATTCTCCTAGCCCAATGACCACTAGTATAGAAAATCTTGGCAAGAATTTGATGAGCTGTAATAGCTTGAGTAGCAACGTCATTCTATAGCACTAGTGTTTTTTTTTTTTTTTGGGGGGGGGGGGGAATCTGAGGGAGGAGGAGGTGCCTATGGGAAAGATGGCGTGTATTCAGCACCATGTCAGCCCCTAGTAAAGCTAAATTGACAGCATTTATAACAGGACCAAGACTGATAACTGAGGAAACAATAAGGATGGGATAAAATTGAAAAAGACTATAAGGATGTAATTCAAAATTCAGAGAAACAATAAGGACCCTCAAATTAATTTTATCTAAATTTTTTACTAAATATTCCACAACTGAAATTTTATTTTCAGAATTAAATTTTTTCTTTATATGCATGGATGTAAACATGCATAACACATGTTTCCTTGCATCCATGCAATCACACTACTGACAGCAAAGGATATCGGTTTAATTTAAACCCCTGATAGATTCTCTAGTTGAAGTAAAATCAACTTGAGATATCGGATGCCCTACAGCCCTTAAAAAATATTTTAAAAAAAAAAGGAAAAATGGATTCTTCTTCTCCTTCTTTACCGATTATTTTTCCTTTGTTGTGGGGTCAAATCAAAAGCTAGGCCTTATGACCAATCCAAGATGAAAATGAAAGAACAAGCCTACCAACAAGTGATAATTCTAGTAAAAGGGACTTTTGACTGTTTAAACATAGGTTACATTTGGTACAAAGCATTGAAAATGAGAGATAAGAACCAAGATTACAATTGGAAAAAAAAATCATTAAAATAATTTTTAGCATGAGTAATTACTTATTACATGGGATTAGACAAACCCATAGAAATCGGATTGGAGAATATCACTTCCTCTTATGGTATTTCTCAATCCCACATACATAAATTTCTTTAATCCCATGTAATAAGCAATCTCTTATGCTAAATACTCTTTTAATAGATTATCCCAATCTCAATTCCAATCTCTTATTTTTAATACTTCGTACCAAATGGTACCACAGGATCTCAAGTTAGAGTCTGCGTGAATGCAGAAAACTTCCTGACAGAGCTACTCCCATTTAAACCCAACAATAATCAAATGTGACCCAGTCAACTAGCTGTGCATATATATATATATATATATATATATATTAAAAAAAAAAACATGAAGAAAGAAAGAGATAGAAGGGAAGAATGGAGAACAAGTCCAGGGAATAAATAATGAAGCATCGAGAGCTGAACAAGAGACCCTTGCTTCTACTATGAATTATCCCTAAAAGAGATACAAATACAACCAGTTTCACAAACCCTACCATCATAACTCCCACCAGTATGATCCCAAAGTTGTTCCTTGGGATTCTCCTTACTGAAAAAGAAAAAACAAGCACAAAACTGAAGTAATTCAATATAGCAATTGGAGGCTACTACTGAGGAGTCAAATTATTGGAGGCTTTGTATTCCTCCATCTCAGTCCTGTATCTCTCCTTATCTCTCCTTCCTTTCTCCTGGTAAATCTGGCATTAGAGCAGCGTATGAATTGTATGAGAACATCATTCATAAATAAAATAATAAAATAATATTGCATGCTGAAAGTAGGAGCAATTTTCACATCCCTGCTCCTTTCATGGCAAGCAAGTGTATGCAGGCACCAAGCATTTCTAAGATTCTATTATGGGCTTCGGCTCATGCTCACCATGGCAATTTGACGAACACGGATAGGTATATTTTAATTTAATTCTATATATATATATATAGCCACCTAGCTGAAAGTGTTAAAATCAGACAGCAGAAAATTTAGTGACGTAAAATGCGATTTGAATCTTTACCAAACCAAATAACATCTCAGTTAACTATATATCTCCAAATGGACACCAACAGACTTGCAAGTCAGGATAAAATATCCAGGCACGATAATGACTAGAACATTTGGCATGCCAGACATTTAGTGTACCTGTCTTTCTGCTTCAGTGAGATGGTTCCATAAAAACCCAATCTTCTTACTAATTGCCCTCTCTTGCCCATAGTATGAAGGCTTTAGCCTGGCATAGTGTTCAGCAAAGAAGAAATTGTAGCCACTCCTGTTTGATTTGGGCCGAGATGGATCATGCAAGCCCAACCTTGATCTCTTTCGATTCTGAGAAGCAGGGATGGATGCAGAACTCTGGGATCCATTGAGAGGAACATGATACAACACACCTTTCAACTGGTCAGAACCCAGATTCACAGTGACTACATATCCACCATCAAACTTCAAATCAATGGTACCAGGCACCAAAGAGCCAAGCTGCTGCTCGAACGTACTAGCTGCATATAAGATAACAAAATCCACATCAAAGATAGACTAAAGCAGTTATTCATTTGTTTTATCATTTTCCGTGAGTTAAGAGACAATTGACGATACAATTTATCTAGGAAAACAATTCGTAATTCAAGGGAAAAAGTTCATAGTTTCATACACCGGGCTCATGTTCTACAACTTAGCTTCCTATCATTAACAATTGAAGTTTAGGCCATACATTAGTGTAATGTCAACATTACAGAAATAATGAAAGGCAGGAGATTTTCTTTTTACAATTTTTTATTATAATTTCTTTTTTATTAAGTTCAGGCTTCATTTTTTAGACCTCTACACATTTCCATAGGAGATGTGGTCTATAGGGCCAAGCCTCACGAGCTAACTGTTGCAGTGTGAATCTCCAAAATGTTCCCATCAAAATCATCATATAGGATTTTATTTTTTCTGCCTTCCCTCCTACTAATTCCCCACAACCACTCTTCCTTGTTTCACATCTTCCCTAATTCTACCTCAACAGGTTTGGCATTAATTTGGCATCAGAGTCCATTTTGATGCTTCCACACAACCACCACTAACATCAAAATCTAAGCCCTCTACACATCTCCAAATGCATGCCATCTGTTATCCATGTTTCTATGAATTCTACAGCGTATTTGAGCTTAAGAAGTTAAAATTTACTTGCCACAGCAGCAGCTGCAGAAACAGACAGCCATCAGCATCTGTTCGATGCTGTTAAATTTTCTGCTGCTGCAGAGCTGTTAGACATCATAATCTAAGAAGCTGC